CCCCTAGTATGATCATTGGTTCTTTGATTGCTTCTGTCTGTTATATAATTAATTTTGCTAGGTGTAAATCAATTAAAGTGGGGGGGTAGAATTGGTTGAAAGGATTGCTTTACAACGTTAGAACTGGTTAGAAAATTGTTTAGTAATATTTTAGTAAAATGATTGGTTAAGGTACAGCTAAGCAAGATTCAAGTTTCACTATATAAACTGGGGTCCCAAAGGAAGTTCTTTGGAACCAACTCCAACACACAGCCCCAAGATCAAATTGCCAGACCTCAACACCCTGCCAACCGCACCGTGCAGAAGCTGGAGTTCCCCAGATGACCTGATCCTGATTGGCCATCAAGAAAAGTTCATTTGCCTTCTTGGGAGTGGTGAGCATTGTATGCTTAACGTGTGTATTCTGTTTTGGAAATTGTTAATAAATAGAAGTTAAGTCGGATACTATTGTGTAAGGCTCTTTCACTGATAAAAGACCCCGCAAACCCTCAGAGTGTAAGGTTACACCCTGAGCCCACAGAAGGGTCGGGGTGGGTGCCTAAATTAACAGGGTTACGCCTGATCCCTAGGAGCAGGGTAAAGATGGGTGCCCCTAGAGTGTGCGAGTAACAGAGAATTTTGTGCGGGTAACAATGTCAGCTGGACCAGACTGCCATAGATGTATTACCAAATTGATTGTGTGCTGATACAAGTCATTCTATAGTGTATATGTAGTAATCCTGAAGGATATGATTGTAAGAACTAAGACTTCAATCTAGTCTGAAGTGTTTGTTGATTATAATTAAACTCAGATCCCAAGATGGGGAAGGGAAATTGTTGTAGTGCTAGCTTCATGGTACTTCATTTTCAGCTGCTGATCCTTCGCCTTTTTCTTCTGCAGGCTTGAGCCTGGAGTACAAAGTATAAAAGGAGAGCTATAATTTTGGATCTGATATCAAAAATGTGGGTAATTTATGGTGCTTGTGCATGTATTGTAACCCTAAATACAAGAGTTTCCAGTAGATTGAACCAACAGATTTGTAGATTAAAAATAAAGCTATCCTTTCTCTTTGAAAGAATTCCACAGTTTTGATAACTCATCGTGGACATGATTTTTGGCATATCAGCTACAATCCAACTACAATATTTATACACTTGTGGAGTGAGAGTTTCCTTCTCAGAGAAGAAGGATGGCTCAGCGGTTGGTGCTAGTCTGAGACTTGGGAGCCCTAGATTCAATTCCCTACTCCTCAATAGACTTCCTATATGACTTTGGGTGAGTGACTAAATTGCTCTGTGTTTTGTTCCCCGTCTATAATAGGAATAATAGAACTGCCTTCCCTTACAGGAATGTTATGAGGATAAATACTATTAAAGATTGTGGCATGAGCAAGGACAACATAAGTCCCATAGTTAGAATCAGATTCTTATTTTCTAACCCTGGTTGGTTGAGATATTGTACAATAAAATTGTCACTGGTTACTCAGACTGTGTAAAACTACAGGCCATTTACCAAACGGATCAGGATAGTGTGCTAATATGGACAGACAGTTTTTAGAAGTATCAATACAAAGCTGTTTGATCCAAAGCCAACAGCTCTGAAAATAATGCTGCAAAAGCTCAAATGAACCTGAACACGCTTAGCCAAAATCAGCATCAATTCACTGCCATCATGTGCAACAATATAAGTAGTCACGTCATTACTGAATGTTTGTGACTGATCAAAGTCTATATATGAAGAAAAAAATGTTTGCCTAAAATCTCAATACTGATAATTTATCTAATTAATTAATCTTATGCCATCTAGGAGCGGGTGAAAGAGTTTTCCTTATGTTTGTTGCTTTGTGTTTTTCTCCTAGTTTTGTGAGCTAGAAGTAAATGTTCATGCTAACAAATTTCAGCAATTCAATTTTCAGCGGCTTTTCAAAATTTTGGCCAAGATGTATATTTACTTTAATATGACCAAGTGATGATCAGTAGTTATTTCACTGTTTACCCGTTCAATACATTAGAGTGAGACTTTTACAGCAGGGTAACCAACAAACATACATATATCCGCATATACACATAGTACTATGCACACTTAAACCTCCATATATGTATTTTCCAGTTTTGCATGCCTCTTTCCCATAATTATTAAAAGACGCTTATGATTCTTGCAGCCTATTTTCTCTTCCTCTGAAATCCTGCAGGGATTACAGAGAACAACAATAATGATTAAAGGCCTTATTAGGAAAGATTAAAAACCATAGTTCAATCAATATGCCTAGGTCTACCAAAAGATGACTAAGGAGGTTGTAATTGTCTGCAAGGTTGTCAGGGCCACCGAGGGAGGTCAAAGGAGGCAAATGCCCTGGGGCCCTGGTGATTTAAAAGGGCCCAAGGGCCCTCGGCTGCCGCCGCTGCCACAGTAGCGGCCAAGAGTCCCAGGCCCTTTTAAATCGCCCGGGCAGGCCGCAGGACACCTAGGTATGTGAGACTGCTCCAGGCCCCGTGCGCCAGTGTGGGTGGTCCCAGAAGTAACGGATTTGTCACTTCCGTCCCTGGACCCTCCGTCTCCCCCCACCCCCAGGGTGGCCTTGGCCCTGACCCCGGGGCCTGGAATTTCTGTCAGCGGGCCTGAAGGTTGTAAACACCAAGGAGAGAGTGTAATTATGTAGGGTGATCCCAGGACTATAACTCAGAGTAAAGTAGGGGAATTAAGTAAGAGAAACTGTAGGACGAAAATGAAGACATTTTTCCAAATGCAAATAATGGACTGTTTGAATAGCCCCCAAAAAAGTGATAGAAACCCTATCACTTAATTCTCTCTCATGGGATTGTTGTGAGGATAAATACACTAAAGATTGTTAGGTGCTTAGATACTACAGGAATGGGGGCCATATAAGTACCTAAGATAAATCATTGTTGAAGTTGTCAACTTAAAATATTTGTGCAATATATAATCTCCCATTTTTCCAGTATGAAATTTACATTCATTATGTGAATTTTTGTATACCTTTAACATTGATATAATCAAACTGCAACCTGAGCAGCATAGTTTAAGCCCCTTCAATTTTGGATTAAGTTCCCATAAAATTTTAACCAGTAGCAGTTTAGAAGGTAACACCAGAGAAAGTGAGCCATTTATGGTAAATCTCTAACTCATAACTAATGAAATTGTTAATGTAAATTACATTATACAAGCTCTGATATAATTCTCATCCTATCTTAGGTGGTCTGTCTAGGAAAAAAATCAACCCCCCAGATTTTCACCATAGTTCCCATTTGGGCCCATAAACAACATGACCAGAATGTCAGAAGAGCTCCATACTCAACATCTCCCATTGTCCTCTTTCCTGGCATGTGGGCATGACAAAATTTGGGCCAGTATCTTATCCTAGTTCCTTTCTCTTTCTGGAATTAAGGATTTGCTCTCTGTTGTAGCAGTGCACCCCGGAGTCAATGAGAGCTGAAAGTGTTCATCACCTTGTGGAATTAAATCCTTAGAAACTGACATGGTTGAACCAGTATAACAAAGAGCATTATTGGGCCCATGAAGTGCACATGTGAGCTACTGTGAGATATCGAGAAGCAAAAGACACAGGAGGAGAAGTTATTGGAGACACTAAATGAAAGCACTTGAAGTAGAAATGGGTCTAAGCTGCAAAGTTACAATCTAGATATGAACATCCTCAAAGTTGCAAGATCTGGACTGAATTCAGAGTTATAGGGTATATCTACATTGCAGTGTAAACTCCGGGTTAGTGGGACTCAAGTTCGCTGATGCTAGATTTATAAGCCCAGGGTTTGAGTGTCTACACTCATTGGTGATCCTAAGTTTAGAATTTCTGGATCCATGCCCCAAACCCAGGTTCCAGAGCTTATACTGCATTACACAGACCTGAATCAAATCACCATATCCCAGTCTTCCTAAGCCTTCCCCAGCTGCAACCATTCTAGCCCTTGGTTTAGGTACAGTATGGAAAAACTGGACTGCCCACCCCACATGTTACAGGAGAGTGTTCCAGCCCTCCAACACATCCTGCCAGGTCATTTTTTGGGTCTGCACACTCCCAGCAACCGGAGACAGCAACATTAGGAGTCACCATTTGAAGAGCTTCTCCTGCTTGGGCTTTCACTCCTGTTTCAGGAAACGGGCAGAGTATCCATGAGACATGGATCTGGAAAAAGGGATAAACAGTGAGGTGGCAAATTTGAGGAAGATACAAAACTACTCAAGATAGTTAAGTCCTAAGCAGACTCTGAAGAGCTACAAAACCGGATAGTCCCTCCGCAAAAGAATAAATGGACACAAATCGGACATCAGGAATCGTAACATACATAAGCCAGTAAGTGAACAATCTCCCTGGTCATTCTATTACCGATTTTAAAGTCACTATCATTGAACAAAAAAACTTACAGAAACAGACTTCAAAGAGAAACAGCAGAACTAAAA